GGCTTTTTTTATTTTTTTAATTTGTGGTTTGTTTGGTTTGGGGTTTTTTTTTTTTTTTTTTTTTTTGAGATTGTACATGAAAGGATTCATCTGTATTTTATATTTTCTGGGGTTTTTTTTTAAGATTATACATAAGAGAAATAATCTATATTTGATATTTTTCTTAGTTGAACACAACATTCATATGATACTCATTGATCACCTCTACAAGGGGTTCCTGTAGTTCCCAGATGCTTGTAGGGAGTTTTAGGTCATTTTAAGGTGGTTTTTTTTGAGGATTTATATTTGCCGTGGTGGGGGAAGAAGAGGGAAGGAAAGAACAGAGTTGAATTGCTCCTCAGATGCTTGGCCACAGAACCATGGCACTGCCACCCTGTCCCCTCTTTTCCTTCAGGGAAATCTGTGGGAATCCAGGAGCACCATTTAGCCCTTGTGGGAAAACCTAAATCTGGAAATTATCTGTTTAGTAACTGAAGTGTCTTTTCATGAATGGGATGGTTCATCCCCAGCAGGAGACAACTGAGGGCTCAGCTCCAGATGGAGAGTGTCAAGCTCCTCATAACCCAATTAATCCAAACCAAACTCGTGCTAATTTAATGAGTTGCAGTTCACAGAACGGTGTCAGTGAGGACCAAAAACGTTGGCTGAGATCTGTGGGGAACCTTAAATCACAGAAAAATAATGCCATGAGCACCTCTGGAGCACTCCTGAAGAGCAGAGCAGCAGAACAACTCCTGGAAGACAATCCAGAGGAATTTGTAGCTGCTCTGAGCTTGTGATTAAGAGGACAGCACATAATGCCTACTCATTGCAAGGGGTTTGGAGTAGATGACCTTTAAAAGGTCCCTTCTAACCCAAACTGTTGTCTGATTTTATAGTACTCACAGGGTTGCACCGTGTTTGCAATCCCACGTAAATCGGTGACATTCACGCACTGAAAAAAAGGGGAGAATCTTGAAATAGGTGCAAATATTCCAACCTACTGAAAATTTAAAATTGATTTAAGAAAATCAATCACACACACAAAAAATGAAATTAGAGAGTGCCGAGAGGAGCAATCCAAGCACTTCTAAACCCAACTGCTGCCCAGCAAAGGAGTTGTCCAACTTCTTGGGCATAAATTCATTTTACTCTCTATATTTTTGTGTTCAGGTAGCACAAAAAAATAAACCTAACAGAGAAGGAGGTTCCAAACACCTCTCACTAATAGAAACAACAACTGTTTCAGGGCTGTATCCCAGAAAAACTCTGCAGGAAGAAATGATTGGCACAGACAATAGCTGTGTCTGGCAACTGTCACTTCAATTTGTTGGTACAATTCATCTTGGTTTGGTGATGGTGATTTACAGTAACTTCCCCCTTCACAACTGAATTCCTCCCTGAAATGATTCCATGACAAACAAAGTGTAATGCTTATTCTTTATTTACAGTAGGCTTGTTAGAATATTGAAGCAACCTAGCATCAAGGAAGCATCAAAAATACAGGGCACAGTCAAACCACACATTAGAGAGCACAAACTGTGTGACAGAACTGTCACAGAGAGTGTTGGACACTGGGGGCTGAGAAAGGAGAGAGATGAGGGTAAAAGAAAGGGGATTGTAAGTGATTTTTGTTCATATTATTATGTTATTTTAATGTTAAAAAAGACATTTTAATTTCATTTTAATTTTTATTTAGTAATGCATTTGATCATTCACTTATCTATTTATTTTAATTTAATGTTTCTAGTTCTTAATTGATCTGTTCAGATGTTCGTTCATTTATTATTTCTTTTTATTTATTTATTTTAATAGTAGGGTTTCTCCCCTACTTTTTATTGAGTTGCTTGGCAAGTTTTCACCCTGGAAAGGCAGAGTCTTTCCCAAGGAATGCTGAGGTTGATGAGCCCAAGTCAGGACTGATTCCAAAATTGGAGCCTGTTGCTCATCACTCTATTGGAGGAGGTCACAAGGATGAAGGTTTGGTGTTCCCTGCCTCTCTGCCACATCCCAGAGTGCTCCAGATGGGATGTGGTGGCTCCATGGAAGGAACAACTTCACCCCTTGACCTTCTCCCTGAGCTGACCAGAAGTTCCTGGTCCCATTAATGGATCTGCCCAGGGTTGGGTGGGAATTTCAGGAGCAGGTGCTGTCTCAGAGACCTTTCTGCCAGGGATATTCCTAATTCCCAACCAACAGAAATACAGCATCATTACTCTAATTCCCCTGCAATATCGCTTTGTTATTTCGATGCTCTTTAGGTTTGTTTGCACTATTTCGGGGAACTCTACTTTGTTAAATCTGGTGGTTTTGATGCTCTAAAATCACATCACTGATAATTAAACTTCAGTCTGGATGTTTTCCAACCCTGGCTCCGTGTTAACAGCCAGTTATTTCTCCCTGAACACCACGAGGGTCTCAGTGCAACAGCAGGAACCTGTTTCCAAATCATGGAACTTCTGGGGGAACAAGACTTTAATTTTAGTTTGCCTTTCTTAGAACCAGGGCTACAAAAATATTTGGGTTTTTTTTTTATTCCCTCATTGCTTTTAATTTACACCAGAACCCTTAATAACCATTGCTTAGTCACCAGGAGGCTGAATTTATTTAAATCAATATCTAATTAGGTTTCTTAATTTATTACTTTTCACTTCAGAAATTTAAGAAATTTAAGCAATTAAGTGTCTGCACTGGTATCCTACCGTTGCTTTTTGTTTCTGCTTGACCAAATTTTTTGTAACTGATTATTTATAGACCCAAATGTCACATTGATTTCTTTACCCAGTGGATTTTTAAGAAATTAAATCATTACATTTTGGGGTGG